AGATGCCCCAACCACTGATGAAATGAACCCCAGCATTTGTATGCACCATATGAATAATAAAAAATTAAAAGTTAAAAAAATAACAATGAAAAGGTCTGTAATCTAGAGAATGAACCCTAACATAGAGTTGAATCTCCATGACTCAAATGATCTATTTTTTCTATTACTCATACGAACATGCATCAGCCATAAATTATTTTTACAACTTTTAAACATTACAAGTTTTTTCAGGAGAACACCAAATATGAAGTATTTATCCAGAGATATTTGTGGGAAACCCAAAGAATATCATAAACTTCACGAGATAGGAATTGAGGCCGGAGTGCTGTGAATGATTACTTTATGCATGATGTCCATAGATCATTCATTTTTTTATATTTGGCGCTACTTATTTTTTGGGGGGTTAGACTGCGCGTTTTTGAAAACTTAGGGCTTCAAGATCACAAAATGGGTTGCTCTAACCACTTGGGCCACGCCTTCAGCCATTTTGCTCTGCTAGTTTGAAGATGGGACTTTTGTGACTATTTGCCCAGGCTGGCTTGAAACCACAATTCTTCCCCAATTTCAGCTTCTTAAGTAGCTGAAGATTGAAGGTTAGAAGCCATGGGACCCATTCTTAAATTTTTAACTTTCATATAAAAAGTTTTCAAAGTATTCTCTCAGGAGGATATATTTTCCTTTCTACTGCCATTACCCCAAAGATATCTAGACACTGCTTTGGAATTTCTTTGAGGAATTAATTTTGGAGTTAACAGAAAGTTCAATTATGTCTCTTTTATGGTCTCTGGCTGGAGTTTGACTTGGGCAACCTTAGACTGGGCAGTTTTGACTGATTTTTAAATTTTAGAATTCATCCTCAAAGAATGCAGACATTCCAAAATACAATTCTCAAGGCCTTAGAAGCAACTCCAAAGAGGAGCACAATTTTTCTTGCAATGCTAGTGCCTTTCCATTTTAGATGACAAGTAGAGTCACTTTGTAGGCTACCTTCTGGGGGAGTAGCGCAGGCACTTGCCTCACCACAGACCTTTTATGACCTGGATAAACCAGTCACTTTATTATTATTATAATTTGCTATACAGATGAAGGATTATATAATAAGCAACAGGTGAAAAACTGCCACATGCAAACTACCTTAGCATAACTAGAGCCACGATCACCAAAATTCATTTCTATCCTTGTTCTTAATCTAATGAGCTCCTTTTGTTAAATTATATTTTATTAAAATAAAATATTGATTATTCTTTCAATTTCAGATGTGGTGCATAATTTTTTCAGTTTAATATAAATTATATGTTTTATAAAGGATTCATTTATACATTGTCAAATGATCATTAAGGAAACACTGAAAAAGCAACTCTACCTTCCATGGTTGATGAAGTACTGGAGTCAAAAGATCTTGATATTCCTTTACTTGTTTGGGATTGCCTCTAAAAGATCCTAAACACAAATCCAATAGCTTTGTACTAATAAGCGTCACAAAAGTTTTGCCTTAGAAAAATCTACTAGCCCTTGTAATTTATTGTAATAAAATGAGAAAGTTAACACAAATGTATGTGATAATTTTTTAAAAAAAACTTGATTTTAGAAAGTCATGTTAGCATTTAGAACTGAAACTGAATTTTAATTGAAATTTACCATGCTTAGCCTACATGTTACATCAATGTTATAATTATAGTATTCATAATTTTATAACTTTTTGTAAATATGAATTACATAGGAATCATTTTTAAAAATCTTTTCAATGATTTAACAATTCACTTAGAAAGTAGAACAGCATTTAAAATGCAGAGTTGTTAACATCATTGAAGTATAGTCTATTTGCTACTTGAAGAGTCATATTTCATTTCTATTCTTCAAACCACAACTCCTATAGCTTAATTTTAGGAAAAGCTCACTTACGTCAATCAATGTAAGGAAAAGATGGGAAATTCACATTCGATGCCATCAAATAGCTAAAACAGAAAATAAAACATTAAATCTTCCACTTATGAATTAGGGCAACTATATTTAGGCTATATGAAAAGATTTATTTATAGTAATAAAGTTGAACTGATTTGTAAGTAATTTCATTGTTCTGCAAAACATTTCTCAGGCTCTTATTCAAAGCTCATTGACTCAACCCATTAAACAGCAGGCATTCAGCAAATATTTACTAAGCATGTATTAATACCTAGCACCAACTAGACACAGAGCTATGAAGACAAAAGATGGATAACCTGCTCTTAAAAGGCTCATAGCTCATTGTAGAGGATGGCACATAAATAAGCAACTACAGTGTAGTAAATGGTATATCAGGAACACAGGGAATGAAAATCTGAGTCTCCCTGATGCCAGTAGCACCTATCCAAGAGACAGCCCAAAATGTCTGCAGATATTGTCAAATGTCCCCTGGAGAACAAAACTGCCCCAGATAATAGACCACTATCTTAAGCTCAGAATAATAGAGGGAAAGAGACATAATTTTATGATTTCTAAAGAGGCTAAAATTCTGCCATCTTTTGTGACTAACAAAGGTGGATGAGTAGGAATGAGGAGCTAGAATGACTCAGGCTCGGGGTGTGACAGAGGAGGTGGGAGATGGATAAAGACAGACTGTAGGACATCTAAGTGGAGCTGTCCAAAAGGCAGCTGCATACATGGATAGTGCATTTGTGGGGAGAGTTCTGAGTTAGGGATAGCAATTATATTAGCAATGACAGCTGTCAGAACATGAGTTAAATGAAAAGCAAATTAGGCTGAAGATGGATTATAGGTGAAGAATAGGAACCTGTAAGAAGTACAATAAGGAAGTAAGTAGAGAATCAGGAAAAGAATGGGGTCACAGCAAAAGAAGAATGTTCTAAGTGAGATGACTCTGTTAAGACACACAAATTTCAAGGAAAGGTTCAGTGAAATAAGGTCAGAAAAGCATCTACCTAGTGATCAGAAATGAAGGAAGTCAGCACAGCTACTGGGCATGGTGAGAGAAGATCCAGATTATAAGGGCCCCTGGGTGAGTGACAGGCAATAAGGCCTGTACACCAAGTATAGACTTTCCTTCCACAAGGGTGGCTACAAAGAGGAAAAAGGATGGAGGCAGATAGGAATAGGATTTGTGTTGCTTCTTAATAATGACCATCAATGTATTTATGTTGAGGAAAAGAAAGTGATTTAAACTGGGGAAACAAAACAAAGGAAAGGCAGAAGTGGGGAAGATGAGAAGAAAGAAGAAACATACATTCTTTTACCAGAGAAGAAACTCAGTGAGAATCCCAAGAATGAAAAAGATCTAACATTGCCTGGACATTTTAAAGACACAAATAAATAGAGACATTGCATGTCTTCATTAGTATGTCAAAGTTAAGAGCATGTTTACAAAAATAAAATTTCTAATTGCTTCACTAAAGCAAAGTCTTTAGTAATGTGCATGGATGATTACTTTTTTGGGAAGTATTAAAGCAGCTAGTATATACCTGGAAGTACTGTTAGATATGTGTGATTTTTTTTTTTGTGGTACTAGGGATTAAACCCAATTCTGTGTATTTGAAATTTAAAACTATTTAAAAACTAAATAGAGAAGTATCTAAATGAAATTTAAATGAGGAAGAAGAGAAGGAACATGGTTTTAATGAGAACATTTACCAATAGAGTAAAAACTATATCACAAACAGAACCTTGATATTATGTAAGACAAGTAGGCAAAAGGTGAAAATGAGATAAAAAACTGTGCAATCAATGAATTGATGTGGCCTACTATGAGCAGAAGACCTCATGGTAATAAAAGTTAACATTTATTGAGCTATGTATCAAGCACCATTCTAAGCATATTTTATACATTAACTCATTTAATCCTTATGAGAACCTCATGGTATAGATACTACCATTATTTTACCAATGAATAATATTAAACACAGAGGTTAATTAACTTGCCAGACACCATACATCTATGAAGTGGCAGAGCTGGAACTCAAATCTAAGAAGTTAGACCCCTGAATCACTTTTGACCTCTCTTATTGCTGCTAATGTAGAATATTTTTTGGTACCTTAATTTCAGCTGGTTTGTAGTAGCGTCTGTTGGGATCTTCCAATGATGTTCTATACCCATCTCTCAAGAAACGCTTAAAGCCATATTTTCCTTTTAATTTTCTAATGACTTTATCAAGTGTCTGGCTGAACAGAACTTCATCATCCAGGCAAATGCAGGATAAGTGATGCATGGGAGCAGGGCAGCATCTGTGTTCTAGGGTCAGTAAGAAAAAAGTTTGTAAATCTGCAGTGATATGTTTAACACAGCCCAAGGTGGATCATGGAGATAAAAGTTAAAAAGGTTACCACTGACAGTGAGCTTGCTGTATTCCAAGGGACAGAGATGTTTGTAGGGCATGTTTCAGAGAACATGATAGAAGAGATAAAAGTTTATTAGTAAAGACAATTTTCAAAGTTCAACAATGTGCTCAAACTTTAAAATAAAGCTACATATAAAAATTAAATGGCTGCTGGGCACCAGTAGCTCATGCCAGTAATCCGAGCTATCTGAGGGGTTGAGATTGAAGGATTGTGGTTCCAGGCCAAACCGGGCAAGAAAGTTCTGAGAACCCATCTTATCAGAAAAAAAGCTGGCTGTGGTGGCACTCACCTATTATCCCAGAGGTGGGAAGCTTAAAATAGGAGGGTCATGGTCCAGTCCTGCCTCAGCAAAAAAAAAAATGAGATCCTAGCTCCAAAATAACCACAGCAAAAAGGGCTAGAGTTATGGTTCAAGGCATAGAACACCTGCCTAGCAAGTGCAAAGCCCTGACTCCAAACCCCAGTACTGTCCCCTGCCCCAATATATTTTAGTTCCTAATAATTATCACAATTTAGTTTACCATAACAATTTACCTTTAATAGTGAAAAAAGAGAAACAACCTAACAATTAGTTGAGTAAATTAGAAACTACTAAAATTTATACTGCAGAAGCAATTAAAATTTATATTTTAGAAATTTACTGATATAGAAACATGTTCATAGAAATTAGGATATCAATCATTGAAAAATAAAAATATCATTTATGTGTATAAAATATGTAGAAACATATGTATCTGAATGGTGTTAACCTAAGATGCATATGAATGGTAGACTAAATGGACTGTATAGCATTCAATGAGAGAATACTTGTGATGTTTTTCCTTGATCATAATCTTATAATACCTATATCAATTATTTTTAACTGGTCAAAAATTATTCTACTTTGGATATTTTTAAAGAACAGAACCACAAATAATCCCTAGAAAAATGTGCAATCAGATACATAAAATAACACAAAAGTTCACTGAAGAAAAAAGCGAATCAAATGAGAAAAAATGAAACATTAAAGAAAATTGTATTCAAAAGAAATGTATTTAACTTTCCTTTTTTATTGGATACTGGATCTCTCACTATATTCCACAGGCTGGTCCAAGACTCTTGGGCTAAAGTGATCTTCCCACCTCAGCCTCCTGAGTGGTGGGACTTCAGGTATATACCATGGTGCTAAGCTGAAATGGAATTTTTCTAATATTCTGTGACAAAAAAAGATTCATTTGGTTTAAACTGCTACCTCCCCCAAAGAGAAATACTATCTATTTTCTATTGTTCTACAAAAGACTCAAAGGGAAAAACATCTTTGTGCACAGCTGTTTACTTCTTAAGACTTCCAGAGGCACAATATCTATCATGTCTTTTTATACTTATGGATGACCTCTAATATTGTAGAGTGTTTTCTTGGAAAAGAAGGGAACACTATATAAAAATCGTAAGTGATGGTTCATTTTGTTTTATTGTAAAAACATCTCACATGCGATCTTGATTCTCTGGGTAACAGTGAACACAAAGTTTGCCTGTTGCGATTGTGAGCATCGAGATCCACAAATATAACTGACCAAGAACAGCCCTGGAAAGAGAAAAAGAAACACATTTCAAGGAATTGTAAACCACTTGGTATTCTTACTGTGAGACATTTCACAAAGACACTAATAATGATTGCATTAAAGTATGGGATTTCTAAGATCTTAATTTTCTTTAAAAAATATTTTTCTATTTCTTGTAATGAACATATTAATCACATAATCATAAATTGTTATTTTCACTTGTTTCTTATGCATATATTGACTTTACAAGGAAATCAACAAATTGCAATATTTTTATGAAGATATAAATATTTTAGCTAACATGACAAGGAATAAAGCAATAAATAATTTGGATTCATAAAATCTGAATTGCTCATTCCTCACAAAGAATGCTTATTATATGATTAAACAAATTTAGATATGATCTAGAATTATGGCTATAGAAATATTTATCTTAAATCAAAATAATATAAGTAACACTAGCTATTTTTCACTATGAATCAGGAACTGTATTCTCATGGTTTATCACATTAAATAACCATATGCAGATATTATCCCCACTTAATTGAAAAGTGTACTAGGCCTTAGTTAAACAGTAAGTATATAAAATCAAGTCTGACACAAAAACCCATCACTAGGTTATATAATTTCACACACTAAAACAAATCATGCCAGAGGCATGGCTCAAGTGGTAGAGTACTTGCCTGGCAAGCTCAAGTCCCTGAGTTCAAACCCCAGTACCACCTGTACATATGTATGTATGTATGTATGTGTGTGTGTGTGTGTGTGTGTATTTCAAGTAAGAACAAAAACCTTGAATAAAAAGACAGGCATAACAGGAAGTGTCAATTGGTCTTCTAAGACATTAACGCAATTTTTTGCCATTTAGCCATTTAATGTACTCCTTTCCTTTACTGGAAAGCTAAATATTTAAAATCAAAACAGAAAAAATTAGAATACAAAAACTTCTTCCATAACAAGGATATACTCAAAAATATGTGGGGGAAAACCCAGAAATATACAACTCATGTTGTTTCAGTATCATTCTAAATTGCATCTTAATCCTCACCAGCTTCAAAGATGCACTCACCCCAAAACTAAAATACCTTGAATCAATCACCTGGATTGAAACTTCACATATCTAGTAGCACCAGAACCCAGCTCTAAATATCAGACTTACTAGATGTATATTCTTCCTGGTAACCCATGTTCATACATGCGTATTAGCTTGTAACATAGAATGGTTTCTCATTCAGAACATCATTTTTAAAAATCTTTAACTACCACAAGTGAAATAACAAATGAATAGGGAATGAGTAAGTCTGTCTCTCAACAACCAGATTCATGCCAAATTCTGCAAAAAGCAGAGTACTGTGCACTCTGCTTTTAGAAAAACATAGTTGAACTTGACTCTCAGTTGATAGACAGTCCTGAACAAGACAATTATTAAATACACAAAAAAACTGCACATGGAAATACATGACTACATACTATGCAAGTGGCTTAGATGGAAGAATAATAATTATACTAAGTTCCCAGCAAAACTGGAAAATGTGAGGACCAAAGCTAGGATGTCGATTTTGTCATAATTAGAACAAAAGCAAAAGTAGAACAGTTAGAACAAAACAATAGGAAAATAAATGGGTATAATATGTTAGGAGACTATGATATACAAATAATAGAAGCTATAATTTATCTTTAGGCCAATACTTAATAGAGTTAATTTCATGCCAAACTGTCTGCCTGGAATTAAATTTTTAAAGATATAATCTTAATTGGATAGTTTAGAAATAATGAAATGAAACAGCAAATTTGGCAATTCTCTCCATTATTTGATGATGTGAACAACCAACTTCTATTTTCTGGCCACAAATAAATGGCTTACTTATCTAAATTCAGCAATTATTTGCTCAGGTCTCAGTTTTCCTCTGCTATCCTTTAAGATATGTGCCCAAAGAGAAAAATAATCTCACAATGTTCGCATATTTAACTCTGAGATGGAAGGCTAGTGAACTCTATTGTTACCATACTTTAGGTATGATGATCCAAGTTTTGAGAATGGTAAAATCATCCCATTCCAAAGCTAGTCTTTAAAGAAGTGGTAAAGGAGAGCCCACACATGAAATTAATTATCACCTACTTTAAATCATTAGACACATTAATTTTAGGCCTGCAAATTTCAAAAACTAGACGTCTGCATTGCTTTGAACACTACATAGCATGAGCAATTTACTCTTGCCATCACTTTCAGGATTTTGGTCTCAGCTCATTGTCAGTATGCTGACTTCCTCAATCAAAGACAAGCATACAAAGAGTGTTTTATATATACATGTCACTTTAGAGTATCTGATTAAATTTGGATATTTGATTTATATCTTCTATTTCCTAAAATCATCACAACTGTCATGATATACTGGCCCAACCAAACAGCATATTTTACAACTGAATTTTACTCTCCAACTGAGACTGTGTAATTGTTTTTATTTTAGTAAATGAACTAGACGATTCTGCCTGATCCTGTCATGGGGACATGAATTCAATACTGACAAATTCACCTCTCCCCCGAGTCCTCATGACCAGAATAAATACTTGGCAGATAATGATCTCAATTAAAAGTGAAGTGATTTGAAGGATTGTCTGGGCTTCTCTTCCCTTCACTGTAACCATTTCTTTTAGCCTGAGTTACTTGCTGCCCTCATCCAGAATAAAAAACTAAAACAAAATGGATTTCTCTGTTCCTGTTCCCTCTCTCCCTTCCTCCCTCTGTACTGGAGTTTGAACCCAGGACTTTAAGGTTACTAGGTAGGCACTCTATTGCATGAGCCAAACCTCCAGCCCTTTTTGCTCTCTAATTTGGAGATAAGGTCTCATTTTTGTCCAGGCTGGCCTGGACTGCGGTCCTATTTTATGCTGTTGCTATAGCAGTGATGACGGATGTATGCCATCATGCCCAGCAACTGGTTGGGAGCTTTATACCTGGGCTGTCCTCAAACTGTGATCCTCACCTCAGTCGTCTAAGTAGCTAGGATTACAGGCGTGAGCCATCATGCCTGGCTTTTCTACTCTTATTTGGAAGCACAACCAAACCATAAAACTACAATTATGAGATTTCTTTTCATGATTCAGTATTAGACTGCCTCTTATATCAGTAGAACAGTACTCTTCAGAAAGGATATTTACTGATGGGAATTCCACCTCTGCACCATGGCTGTAGTGGCAAAAGATGTGTAAATAACCAACTTTTGCTCCTGATCCAACAGCTGTTTCTAGAAGTTCTAACAATCCAAGCTTTTCTCCTTTAAAGAAAATGGTGTTTGAATACTGTTAGAAATCTCGCAAGTACAGAGGAAGATGAACCTAAGCATTAATTCTTAGGGTCACAGAGAAGCAGAGATGAGACTCAAACCTAGAAATCACAAAACTGTTGCTTACTATGTTCATGACATTTGATAATGTAACTTGATTTATTTAAGTATTATACTTTAAGTACTGTCAACTATTACTTAAATAAGTAACATTTACATACATTTGTTACTTATAGTTATATAGAATATATTTGAGACCTTAATGAGATATGTGATTCCCTTATGGAGGATTACTTATGTTTCTAAATTGGCTATCACAAATTGGTCTTTATTATAAACTAATCGTTTTATTTTTAGGTGGTGTCCCAAACAAAATAAGTTTTGAAATAGTTTGTGTGAAGAATTAAACAGGGTTTTTTCTTGAATAATAAGCAAAGTAATTATAGAAAAACAGAAAGTATAGAAACACATATTAATCACTACCAAAGCTAAATGTTTTTTCTTCCCAACAGCTACCCATAAAATTAACACTTGTTTCACTTAATATACTAAAGCACAAAAAGTCAAAAGGAAAGTCTTTTACACTGTTTTTAAAGTAGACACCTACTTTAGAAGTTCAAATATTTATTAAGCAGAAAGTGGCTTAAGGGTTTTCAAAGAAAACATAGTTTCCAACTATAAAGAATACATCCAACTGGGAAAAAAGCACCCTCATACACTGTTGGTTGGAAGGTAAATTAGTGTAGCCACGATGGAAATCAGGACAGAGGGTCCTCAAAAAATTAGAAATAGAAATACCATTTGATCCTGCTACTACTACTGTTGGGCATCAGATCATCCAAAACACTATACCAACAGTCTTTGGAAATAACTGCTAATACCCATTTTATCTGAAATCCCACAAATCTTGAGGTTTCTTGGGTTTGTGCTTGAATAAAATATTTACAGAAGTTCTTCTCAATGATTTTTAATGAAACCACTATTCTTTTAAGTACAAGGAATGACACAAAATGATTAAACACTCTAGAGATAACATGACATTTAAATGTACTATTATTAAACAGGCATATTATTAACTGTTGTAGAGATAGGAATATTAAAATTTTTGGTCAGGTTTCTATAGTACTCCTCATCAGAAGAAAAGATGAAAAGGAATTTATAAAACTAGGACACTGACAATACCATTTTTTTTCCTTTTTTTGGTGGCACTTGGGTTTGAACTCAAGGTCTCATGCTTGCTAGGCAGGCACTCTACCATGTGAGCCACTCCATCAGCCCTTTTTCATGTTGGGGATTTTCAAGATAGCGTCTCTTGAGCTATTTGCCTGGGGCTGGCTTTGAACCTTGATCTTCCTGAAACTCAGCCTCCAGAGTAGCTAGTACTACAGGCATGAGTCATGGGCACCCAGCTATCAAGTAACAATAGAAGATGGAAGAGGCTATATTTGCAACATATATTATTCATGTAGCTAAAGGCATAGACATTATTTGTGCATACTTCTATCTCAATTTAGTAAACACTTGGTGCAGTTATGATAGAAACAGACAAGGTTAAACAAGGTCAAAAATTAACTGTGGTTAGAGTGGTTGTTTTTATTCTAGCTGTACTTTGTAATTCTGAAGGAGTTTTGAAAAATCTCAATGCTAAGGTCTCCTTCTAGACCAGTCATATGAGAACTCATTGGGGAGTAGTCCAGACATCAGTATTATTTTTAAAATTTCTCAGATGATTCCAGTGT